TTAATAAATAAAATTATATAAATATTATTTAATAGTTCATATAATCATTTTCATCTTAGTATTCAGGTTCAGCATCAGGCTGCCCTGCTTTCGTCGATTTTAACTCCAAGAAGTTCTGATCCACATCGTTGCTGCGCGAAGGTGACAATCTTTCAAACCCCTCTGAAAAGTTTCCTAATTTCCAATTATCGGGAGACTTGGGCTGAAATCCAGGCAAATACTCGCGAGGAATCCTATTTAGACTATTGCAGCTACCAAAAGTCCCCAAAGCATCAAATACACTTCATCGATCACTTGGTTCCCACCAGTAAGATAAAATATTGGAATGGGAAAAAAACTGACAAAACCTGATTAAGTTTTTTTTTTTTTAATGTTTTTTATTCTGAGATCCATCTTTTTTATATTTTTTATTTGGCAATTAATTTTTTTAAAAGTTTATTATATAAATATTAAAAAAAATATTTTATTTTTTTAATATACAATTTAAAGTCTTTCAATATATATATTTTATATTGACAAAAAAAGATTTATTTTTTTTAATGTATAATAAAAAAATTTAATTTAAATACTTTAACTTTAAAAATACTAACATAATATCTTTTCAAAATAAAATAAAAAAATTTTAAATAAATTTTTAAATTTTATTATTTATAACATGTATAGTCTATATTTATATAAATTATTTTTAATTTTTTTTATATAAAATATTAAAAATTTAAAATTAATTTAAGTTAATTTAATTTAAATTAACCCATATAATTTAGAACCGACATGTCAATTTTCAGATCAATTCCAATAACTATGACCGATGGTAATAGAGTTATGGTGGTGGGGGTGGTAACGAAGATAGTAATTGTAAAGTGAAAAGTAATGATGGCAACAGCGATAATGATTTTGCATGTAGTGATGATGATACGACTTTTAATGGTTAGGATTGTTGAATGATTTTGTGTATAAATTATTATTTAAAAAATATTTTAAAAAAATATAAAAAATATAAAAAATATTTTATCTTGTAAAATATTTTATTCAAAACAAATTCCTTCTTCAACTACCCATAAATAATTAAATTGTGCTTGCGACAGGCGAACGTGTTCTTTTCTTTTACAAGTCTTGGCTCTGCTTTCCCACGCAAATTTTTTCTTTGGCGCCAAGGGCCCGTCAAGGCATTTTTCAACTTTATGCATTCATGCTTTCATGTCCACTCGTTCTGTAAGTATACCCTTCATTTTGACAAAACCCACTATTTCCATCCTATATTTTCACCAACTTGTCAAAAGAGTCCCTCCATTATTAATTTTGTCAATTGAGCATATGTTTTTTCAATTTCAGTCAAATGAGTAAAATTTTCCGAAATTAAAGATTTATCTCTATCAATTGAGAATTCTTCATCACAGCCTGGGTTGAGTAGAGTTTAACAACATTATCACTGACTGGTTGTAAGCAAATGGAGAAGAGTGATAAGGAATCAAATATCCATGGAATTCCATACTTAACAGACAGAAACTAGATTTGCTTCCTGCGTTCTGACACGATCTGGAATTATTATTTTTTATGTTAAAAAACTGCAAAAAAAAAAACTCAGGCTCAATTGGTAACTTAAATAATATAAATAAAAAAATACAACAATAATAAATAAACTAAAAAAAATTAACAACAAATAAAAGCTAAACAGAAATTGATACAAGTCTATCTAGATTATTAAATATCCCAAAGTTAAAAGGGCAAAACTAAAAAAAATATTATTTTGAAAAAGCAAAAATCATGGTTAAAATAAGCTAATCTGCAAACTATGTGAACTGTCATATAAGATTAGGATAATATCATGAAAATAAAAATAAATAAATAAAGTTTGAAAAACAATTCCTAACAAATCAAAAGAAAATAAAAAGTTGAAACTCAATTACTATCTTCATTATTATTAAAAAAAAAAACAAATCAACACATTAACCTTTAAAATCAATGAATCAAGTCATGAACTCGAGATTAATATCATAAAAAACAAACTATAAAATAAAACTCTAAAAAAAAATCAACAAATGTTAATCTTTAAAATCAGTGAATTAGGTTATGAACTCGAGATTAATGCCATAGAAACAAATAGTAAAATATCACAAAGAAAAACTCTAAAAAAAATTAACTTAAAAAAAAAAGAGGAAGCAAACTAGGGCAAATTTTTTAAACTTGATTTAATCTTTAAAACTCATATCTTGTGAAATTTTAGATTGCATTGAATCAATAAGCATAATTCTCAATTAGTTTAGCATATCAATTTTATAAACTTTTTTTAAAAAAAAAATGAAGATTAAATTTGATTAAAAAATCTCAAAGGAGGGTGAAATAGTAAAACAAAATCAATTTAAAAATGATTTCAAACAAAATAAATAACAATAAAAAAATAAATATTAAATTTAAGAGATCAGAAAATTGTACGGCAATGAAATTAAATAATCTTCTTTAAATATGCAACTATCTTTTTGACATAAAAATAAATGTGCATGCCTAGATATTAATATTGGTGTGACTATGTTTGGGGCAATATGATCCTTTTCTAGCCTATAAATAAATGTCGTGTTATTATTTTCCCTCCCATAATTGTTTCTAGCTACTCTATATACCTCCAAAGAGTTGCTAAAGATTTAAATTGCATTAAAGAAACGGTATTTTTATATTGAGTTCTTCGTATTTATATAGCTATCTCGAGTTCATGACCTGATTCACGACTAAAAAAGGAACTTCAAAATGCAGAGTCTAAAGAAGACCACAAAAAGAAGAAAAAAGCATGGTGAAAGAAGGGTCGTGCAGTTGGCTTGATTTGTCAGAAGAGATTGTTTTTACCATGATTTAAGTAATATGCAGCTGCAATGGTTGGTGAATTATGAGGGGTGGTTGAAAATTATATGATGCTTTTTCTCCTTAAAGAGATATTGGGGATTATTTGGTGATAACCTGTTAAAACCATGGGCACCCTGTATGGGTTATGATGCTCAAAAAGGGTTAATGTCGCCTAAGAAGAAATACTACTGTGTGGAATCTGATCAAGCAACTTGAAACAGCTTGAAAGTGTTCAAAGTTTGCTAAGACTATAAATTTAAACGAATTGATAATAACAAAGTAGAACACTTGAAAGAAAAATTGTTTACGGGGAATTACACAGATACAATAATGAAGTTCTGAGATGGGTTTTGGTTACAATTTCAGAACAGGAGGACTAATTAGACACGAATTCTGTCATGGAAAAACATGAGATTTTACAAGGAAACGTAATGTCTCATCCATTAAATCCAATGCCTTTTCTTCTCTCCATAATCTCCAAGCCTGGAATTTTGAAGTTTAAGTCAGCAGCGCTTATCAAATGATAAAACATTATATTAGAACGGTTGAACTTACATAAGCTAGAAGGCTTTGGGCTTCATCAGAATTAAAATACCCTGTGTTCCTTTTCCCACTAAGAATCTCAAGTACAACCACGCCGAAACTAAAAACATCAGATTTGACAGAGAACAAGCCATCTAATGCGTACTCTGGCGACATGTAGCCACTGCATTACAACAATTTTCACAAGAATCATTAACTCAGCTGGAGACAGACACCTAATTCAGAATTAACCATGACATGATTGTAGGATTGGAGGCCGCAAAAAGAGAGTGTTCGCATATGAATGTATGTCTGATGAATATCAATGTTGATAGGATCTGAAACTTACTAAGTTCCAACAACTCTGTTTGTGCTCCCTTCGGTTTGTTTGCCTTCGAACATCCTTGCCAATCCAAAGTCAGAAATTTTGGGATTCATTTCCGCATCTAATAAAATGTTGCTCGTTTTCATATCACGATGAATAATCCTGAGTCTAGAATCTTGGTGGAGATAAAGAAGACCTCTAGCAACTCCTAAAATGATATCAAAGCGCATCTCCCAATTCAGTAACATTCCGAGATCTCGATCTTCAGCGGTTTTCCATTTCCATAAGAACAAAAATTAGCAAGCATGAGTGCTGCAAACGTACATTTATAAAACAAAAATGATGAATCTGTTTAGAGACTAACCAAATATGAAGGAATCTAAGCTTTTGTTGGGCATATATTCATAGAGTAAAATCTTTTCATCCCCTTTAATGCAATAGCCTACTAGTCTGACAAGATCGCGATGCTGCAATCTAGCAATCAAAATCACCTCATTCTTAAACTCCTCTAGGCCTTGTCCTGAAACACTAGAGAGTCGTTTTATTGCAATTTCTTGACCTCCTGGAAATTTTCCCTGAAACCAAAGTTGCCATGCAGGTAAAATTCAGCCAGAAAACTTGTCAGACACAAAAATTCCAATGATTAACGTAAATTTTACTTTGTAAACAGGTCCGAAGCCCCCTCTTCCAAGCTTGTTTGCTTCTGAAAAATAATCCGTAGCCCCTAGTATGCTGTCTAAATCAAAGAAAGGTACATCTATGCCCTTCTTATCTTCTTCCTTGAACTCTTCTGCATCCATCAAGTTCTCGACCCGTTTCTCAGTGCCATACAAAAGAGCTGCATTTCTTTCAGTAATTTGCTGCCTTTCTGAAATTTCAACAAGACAACTGCTAATTACATTAGGAATCCCTTAAAAACTTCGATACCAACTTACACGTGGAAAATTTGTCTAGTTACCTCGTCGTTTGGCCTTCTTTCTCATCAAAATGCAGATGTAAAGGAAGATACTTGATAGAACTATGACACTAGCAATTGCAACTCCTACAATCAAAGACAATGGTTTTTTTTTTCTCGAAGATCCTCCTGCTTGTCCATAGATAAATTCAAGAAAGAATACGGGGTATGCGCATTATAATAAATTAAACTGGATGAAACTTATGGTTTTCACTACGTTTGCAGTTTGAAGCAAGATATAGAGTGCTCACCATGAACGCAATTTAGAGCCATGCCATCCCACCAAAAATTTGAATTGCAGAGGCATCTCGCTGTACCATTTCCTGTTGCAGTGCAAGTTGAATTTGGCCAATCGTCGCAGTCTGAAGACGAAGAGCAGACTGGCTCTGGAGGTGGCTCCCAACCAATTTCTATTTCTACCAGACCTTGAGATGAGACGTTGGAAATAAAATTTTCTGCCACGGGTTTAGAGGCGTTCATCTTAAATGGAAATGACGTGTTGAACTTCCTTTGACATCTTGTACTGGCATTGCAATCATCTACAATAACAAATGTTCTTCTATCTGGATTGATGGTGGTGACATTATAGGTGCCGTTGTGTGTCTTAAAGCTGAGTTTTCTTGTGGAATTATCGCAGTTAAAACTGAAGTATATGGGGTCACCACAATGTGATCCGGCACTTAGGGGATAAGGAATCACATTTATGCCACAAGGCTCACAGCTTTTAGCCTTCGGTTCTGCAAAAAATGGAGCTTTTTTAAGGTATGAAACAGTACTGATTCAGTTCAGTTATGAATTAAGTCCACTGCTTGTTTGCAATCTTGTATCAGAGAAAATTATCCTTGACGTAATTCCACAATCTTGTAGTGACAAAAGGAGAAAGAACAAGTCGAAAGAAGGAAGTACCTATGTCAGCAATGGTGACACGAACAAACAGATCGAGCCCACCATCAGAATAGTCCTCCTGAAGATCTTTAAGATCATTCATCCAGATCAAGCAACTGTTGCTGCTAGGTTGTCTGTCCCTATTGACTCCCCCCTTCACAAAGGAATGAGCTTGGCATCGGCACTTACGGAAACACTCCTCTCTGCATTGCTTTTCATCCTTAACCACAACTTCAGTGTCTTGTTGCCCAACTCTCATCATCTTCAAGCTCAAGAAGGTCTCATGTTTCCCACATACGGCAGAGCTTCTGATGCAACCACCCGAGAAATCTCTTTTCGTCCAATTTTCCTGTGAGTTAGGCTCAAATCCTGGCAAACATCTGCAATCCAAACTATTGTATAGATTGCAGCTGCCAAAATTTCCACAGGCATTAAACACGCTGCATTTGTCTCGCGGCTCCCACCATAGCTTAGACCAATTTGTATTATAGCTCCAGTATTGTAGCTCCCCTTTAAAGTCCAACCTAATCCTTGTATTATTATAATCTGAGGGTGATAGACTTGGTCCTTTGATTTTTGAAGTTGAATTGGAAGCAGAAATGGATTTAAATCTTCTGGTGAAGCTCGACAGAAAAAATGCTATTCCAGCAGGCATTCTTTCTGAGTTGATGGTGGTGACATTATAGGTGCCGTTGTGTGTCTTAAAGCTGAGTTTTCTTGTGGAATTATCGCAGTTAAAACTGAAGTATATGGGGTCACCACAATGTGATCCGGCACTTAGGGGATAAGGAATCACATTTATGCCACAAGGCTCACAGCTTTTAGCCTTCGGTTCTGCAAAAAATGGAGCTTTTTTAAGGTATGAAACAGTACTGATTTAGTTCAGTTATGAATTAAGTCCACTGCTTGTTTGCAATCTTCTATCAGAGAAAATTATCCTTGACGTAATTCCACAATCTTGTAGTGACAAAAGGAGAAAGAACAAGTCGAAAGAAGGAAGTACCTATGTCAGCAATGGTGACACGAACAAACAGATCGAGCCCACCATCAGAATAGTCCTCCTGAAGATCTTTAAGATCATTCATCCAGATCAAGCAACTGTTGCTGCTAGGTTGTCTGTCCCTATTGACTCCCCCCTTCACAAAGGAATGAGCTTGGCATCGGCACTTACGGAAACACTCCTCTCTGCATTGCTTTTCATCCTTAACCACAACTTCAGTGTCTTGTTGCCCAACTCTCATCATCTTCAAGCTCAAGAAGGTCTCATGTTTCCCACATACGGCAGAGCTTCTGATGCAACCACCCGAGAAATCTCTTTTCGTCCAATTTTCCTGTGAGTTAGGCTCAAATCCTGGCAAACATCTGCAATCCAAACTATTGTATAGATTGCAGCTGCCAAAATTTCCACAGGCATTAAACACGCTGCATTTGTCTCGCGGCTCCCACCATAGCTTAGACCAATTTGTATTATAGCTCCAGTATTGTAGCTCCCCTTTAAAGTCCAACCTAATCCTTGTATTATTATAATCTGAGGGTGATAGACTTGGTCCTTTGATTTTTGAAGTTGAATTGGAAGCAGAAATGGATTTAAATCTTCTGGTGAAGCTCGACAGAAAAAATGCTATTCCAGCAGGCATTCTTTCTGAGCTAAAGAAATCACTTGACTCCCCACTAGTCCAATGCGTTATATAGTCATTGACGATAACAAACTGGTTCGTTTCTTCATCAAACTGAAATGTGAAGTTACCTTCTTTTGGATCAACTTGACTTTTCCATGAAGTCAATTTTAGATTCCCACTTCTCTTCATACCTGAAAGAAATGTATCAGTTGGATGTTCAAAGCTTTGCCATAGAATAGTTGTCGAAACGGTATTACTATCACCAAAAACCAAGTTCCCAGAATCTAAGAGCTTAGCCAACCGATACTCTGGTTTTGATGTTGATTCAAGCCTTGTAGACCACACAGGACCTCCACTTTTATTCAAAATCTTGAGATTTCCATCACCTGTGACAGCCAAAACTCCTCCATCATCAAGAAGTGGGCTTTTCCGATTGGCAACCCACACAACTATTGGTGGATTCGACCTATGATACCAAATTGCTACATAGCTTTCGTAAACAGAACCTTGTTCAGGAGTATAGAACCCCAGTTCAAACCTTTGTCCTGCTGAAACAAGAGTTTCTCCACCATCATTTCTAATCGAACCTCTAGGATATGTGATGGTATCTCTAGCAAAGCAACATAAAAGGGAGAAGCATAATAAGAAAGCATAAGAAAAGAAAACGGTTGATAGCATGCTATGCATTGCACATCGATCTCTCTGGTTAAGACCTCTTCTTACCATCAACCATGAATGTATCACTAAGGTCAACTGCAAAGCAAATTTTCACTGCACTTGTTCTTTGTTGACGCTGACCATAAAGGAAGGGAGAGGGCGCTTTACTAAACTTGGATTAATTTAGAATAGGCAATCATTTGAACACCACAACATTTTCCCAGTCATCGACAAAAATTTAACATTAGGAATGAGTTAACATTTTAAAGTATTTTTTATTTTAAAATATATTAAAATAATATTTTTTTTATTTTTTAAATTGATATTAATATATTAAATTAATTTAAAAACATATAAAATAATTTAAAATAAAAAATAAAAAATGTAATAAAACATAGTTTGTAACACAATTCTAAATAACTATATCAATCTTATTTTTTTTAATGATAATATCGATGATTATAGAGTTACAGTAGTGAGGTGATAATAAAAATAATAATGATAAAGTAAGAGATAATGATGTGAACAGTGATAATAATATTACACGGATTGAGATGATAAGATTTTGATGGTTAAGATTGTTAGGATGATTTTGTGTTTAAATTATTATTTTTAAAATATGTTATCTTGTAAAATATTTTATATGAAATAATTTATTTTTAAACTACTCATAAATAATTAAATTGCTTGCAATAGGTGTTTCTTTTTATTGGTGTTGATATTCAAACTAGTTTATGTATATTTTAATTAATTTTATGAACTTCAAAATTAATTATATAAATTTTTAATAATAAAATTTATAAAATTTAAATTATTAATTTTTTTAAAATAAATTTAAAATTTAATTAGCTATGCTATCAAGTTACACCAAGCGTTTTAGATTAATGTGGGTGTCCGGGCCAGCTTGTGCGCACCACCACTAATCCCACGGGTCCTGAAGTTAACGATCATATAAATTTCCAGTGACCATCATATAAGCAACCAAAAACTCAAACCTGAGATCACAAAGAAAACAAATCTCTTAATTCCAAATTCTTACCGGTTGGCCACCATCTATATAGTTGCAAGTGTTCTTTTCTTTTACAAGTCTTGGCTATCCTTTCCCACGCAATTATTTTTATGTGGCAACAAGGGTCCGTCAAGGCATTTTTCAACTTTATGCAGTCATGCTTTCAAGTCCACTCGTTCTCCAAGTATACCCTTCATTTTGACAAAACCCACTATTTCTATCCTATATTTTCACCAACTTGTCTAAAGAGCCGCGCCATTATTAATTAAGTCAATTGAGCACATGTTTATCTCAATTTCAATCAATTGAGTAAAATTGTCCGAAATTGAAGATTTATCTCGATCAACTGAGAATTCTTCATCACAGCCTGAGCCGAGTTTAACAACATTATCACTAATTGTTAGTTGTTAGCAAATGGAGAAGAGTGATAAGGAATCAAACATCCATGGAATTCAACAGAAACTAGATTTACGACCTGTGTTCTGCCATGACGTGGAATTATTATTTTTTATGTAAAAAAACATTGAAAAAAATTGAGATTCAAGTTATTAGTTCAATGGGTAATTTAAATAATATAAAATAAAAAAATTGACAACAAATAAAAACTAAAAATAAATTGATCCACGTCCATTTGGATCACTAAATAATCCAAAGTTAAAGGCCAAAACTGGAAAAACAATAAGTTAAAATGGATTTACTTGCAAACTCTGCGACCCTTGATATAAGATTGGATAATCTCATATAAATAAAAACGGGAAAATTTTTTTAAAAAGAAATTCCTAACAAATCAAATGAGAACAAAAAAAGTTGATCTAAGCTAACTTAGATCAAGATGCAAAATCTTTGATCTAGTCGTGACCAGGGTAATTATGTTTTTAAAAAATGAATAAAATTATAAAGTTTAATTATCGAACAACTTAATGTTGAAGGAAAAAAAATTAAAAAAATTAATTAAAAAAAGCTATCAAAAAATCTGAATTAACTCAGGTTAACCCGCTAACTAGACAATCATGGGCATTGAATCAAGTTAACCCGATACAAGGAAAGGAAACAAAAGATGAAGACCGATTTCCTATATAGTTAATGTTGAATGATGAAATTGAAATAAATTAATTTTTAAAAAAAGGACAAAATAAGTTAACACACGTTAACCTTTAAAATCAGCGAATCTGATCATGAACTTGAGACTAATGTCATAAAAGGCAAACCGTAAAATATAACAAAGCAAAACTATGAGGAAAAAGTTAAAAAAATCAACTTAAAAAAAAAACTAGGACAAATCTCCTGAACTTGATTTAATATCTAAAACTTACACCTTGTGAAATTCTATACTCGCGTTGAATCAATAAACATAGTTCCTAATCAATTTAAGATATCAATTTTAAAAGCTTTCTAAAGCTAAAAAAAATTTTAAAAGAATGAAAACCTAATTTGATAGAAAAAACATAAAGAAGGAGTGAAATCATAAAATAAAATCAATTTAAAGAATAATCTCAAACAAAATAAATAGTAATAAAAAGAATGAATATCAAATTTAAAAGATGAGAGAATTGAAGGGAGATAAAATTGAAAAGGCATTCCAATTTTATAAATTATTCAAGATTAAAAAAAATATAATAAAAAACAAGGACAAAATCTAATAAATGAACAAGTTAAAGGGTTGTTTGGAATTTTCAAGGAGCTATCATGAAAATCTAGGAAAAAAGAGAAAAAAATAGAAAAACAATATTCAGCAGCGTCACACAATAAGTATCTTGAAACACGGTGTGTGTTTATTTCTCGAAAAGTGGTTTTTAGAAAATTATTTTCCAAACTTTTCTGTGTTTGTTTGTCATTAGAAAAGTTGGTCAATAAAAAACATTTTTTAATTAAAAAAAAAATTGGCTTAGTTTCGAAGAAAGTGTTTTCCTACAAAATTTATGCAAAAAACACTTTCCGGAAATTATGAAAAATTTAAAAATATTATATTATTTTCTGATTATATCAAAATCGGTCCTCAAACTTTTAATTGTTGTATATATTTTGTTTTGAATATTTATTTTTCAATTTCATCTCTTAAAATTTAATTTTTATATTAACTTTGGTTCTTATTTTTATAATTATTATTTATTTTTTTCTTATCATTTATTTATTGAAATTTTTAATCTATCAAGTTTGATTTTCATTCTTTTGATTGTTACTTATTTTATTTGAAATAATTTATGACATGTTAATTATTATTATTTTAATTTTTTCAACTTTTATTTTTTTATTATTTAGATTTGATTTATATTATTTTAATTATTATTTATTTTATTTGAGATAATTTATAAATTTTTTTTTTTAATTTCATTCTTATTTAACCTTTTAATTTGTAAGATTTGTTCCTCATTATTTTAATAAACTTGAAAAAAATAAAATATTAATAAATTATTTTTCATTATATTTTTTATAACATAACTAAATACTAAAAAATATTTTTCAATTTATTTTTTATTATATTATTAAACTTTAAAAAATAATTTATTTTTTTAGAGTTTATTTAAAAAAAAAAAACTACTCAGTAGAGAAGGTGGCTCTTGGTGGATGGGTTGCCGTCGTAAGCACCGCTTGAAAAGCATGGGAGCCCGAGCCACTCACTGGTTGTGTCCCGCATATATCATCCATGCTTTTTTAATATTTAATATTTATTAATATAAAACAATAACACTGAACTAACACAATATTACCAAAAAAATCATGTTAAAAAGACCAAAAAAAAAACATCCTTGAAAAGAGTTTATTTGATTTTATCTGGAAAGGAAATAATATAATTACATTATTTTTAAAAACTAAAATAGAAAAACGCCCCTGAATAGTAATTTGTTCGTAGAGTTACAATAAACTTTGCTGTGCAAGAAAAACAAAAATAACTAATTTAACCTTGTAAAGACAAATATTTCACTCTATAAAGTTGATCTCGCCTTCAATATCTACGATAAATCTCTTTTTGGTTTTTCTTAACAAGGACTGGGACCACCTGCCCCAGATTGTCTGGTGGGCCATTTCATTACACGCTCATCACGACGCTCTTGTTCGTATATGGACCGGTTTTTCTTTTCTTTTATTTTACTTTAACAATTCTCTAATTAAATAATCTACTTTACATAAAAATAAAGGTGAATGCCTAGATATTAATACTAGTGTGACTATGTTTGGGGCAATATGATTCTTTTCTAGCCTATAAATAAATGTCGTGTTATTATTTTCCCTCCCATTATTGTTTCTAGCTGCTCTAATATACCTCCAATGAGTTGCTAAAGTTTTAAATTCTATTAAAAAATGATATTTTTATATTCAGTTATCTTATTTATATAGCTATCCTATTATTGATACCATGAGATCCCTAGCCAAGACAGACAAAGTATACCACAAAGTTTAATCCCAAAAATAATAGAATTAAAAAAAAAACTTAAAGAACCAAAAAGAACTGAAGGACTAAGGAAAAAAACTCCATTACAATTCGTAGTGTTTTCTCTTTAGGTGAACATGACTTTTGCCGGTAAGCCCACCAAGCCCCTGTCCAAAAAACTACAGAGCATCTCCTTAATCAGTCTGGATCAGACATGGCCAACAACCTGGGCTTGACTCCAAACCGGTGGAGAAATGTCTTCCTACTCTTCCTTGACCATTGATAGACGCTGGCTTGGACAAATTGATATTAGGCTGATATCCTTGGACATTCCGAAGATTGGATTGTAGGCAAGGCCAGTATCTGTGCCTATCTGTGCCTTTTTGAAATGGTTTTGGATTCTCCATGGAACCGTTAAAACTGAGTGTAGGAATTTCAAAATGCAGAGTCTAAAGAAGATCACAAAGAGAAGAAAAAAACATGGTGAAAGAAGGATCGTGCAGTTGGCTTGATTTGTCAGAGGAGAATGTTTTTACCATGATTTAAGTAATTTGAAGCTGCAAGAATGGTTGGTGAATTATGCGGGGTGGTTGAAAATTATATGATGCTTTGTCTCCTTGAAGAGATATTGGGGAGGATTATCTGGTGATAACCTGTTAAAACCATTGGCACCCTGTATGGATTATGATGCTCAAAAAGGGTTAATGTCGCCTAAGAAGAAATACTAGTGTGTGGAATCTGATAAAGCAACTTGACACAGCCGTTGAAAGTATTCAAAGTTTGCTAAGACTCTAAATTTAAACGAATTGATAATAACAACGTAGACCACTTGAAAGAAAAATAGTTTACGGGGAATTCCACAGATACAATAATGAAGTTCTGAGATGGGTTTTGATTACAATTTCAGAACAGAAGGACTAATTAGACACGAATTCTGTCATAGAAAAACATAAAATTTTACCAGGAAAAAAAAAGAAGAAACCTTTCCATTTCAAGATTGAGAAACTTTCCAAGATTTTATGCAAATTGACAGGAAATTATCTGCCTTCGTCTGAAGCAATCGCTGTATCGATGCTTCTTTCTTGTTTACTTGAAGATGAAGCTGTGCCAGAAAGGCCTCTCTCTTGTTCCCTTGAAGCAAAATCTGTGCCAGAAAGTCCTCTTCGTATAAAAAAGGCTGGGTTCTTAGGAACCGGCAAGTTTGCACTTTCACTGCTAAGCATCACAACAACATTTGACATGGTCGGACGGTCGGATGGATCATCTTGTACGCATAAGAGTGCAGCATTTACACACCTCAGAAACTCATTGGTGTTGCAAATCTCACGTAATGTCTCGTCCATTAAATCCAATGCCTTGTCTTCTCTCCATAATCTCCAAGCCTGGAATTTTGAAGTTTAAGTCAGCGTAGCTTATCAAATGATAAAACATTAGATTAGCACGGTTGAACTTACATAAGCTAGAAGGCTTTGGGCTTCATCAGAATTAAAATATCCTGTGTTCCTTTTCCCACTAAGAATCTCAAGTACAACCACGCCGAAACTAAAAACATCAGATTTGACAGAGAACAAGCCATCTAATGCGTACTCTGGCGACATGTAGCCACTGCATTACAACAATTTTCACAAGAATCAGTAACTCAGCTGGATTCAGACTCCTAATTCAGCATTAACCGACACATGATTGTAGGAGTGGAGGCTGCAAAAAGAGTTTTTGCATATGAATGTATGTCTGATGAATATCAATGTTGATAGGATCTGATACTTACTAAGTTCCAACAACTCTGTTTGTGCTCCCTTCGGTTTGTTTGCCTTCGAACATCCTTGCCAATCCAAAGTCAGAAATTTTGGGATTCATTTCCGCATCTAATAAAATGTTGCTCGTTTTCATATCACGATGAATAATCCTGAGTCTAGAATCTTGGTGGAGATAAAGAAGACCTCTAGCAACTCCTAAAATGATATCAAAGCGCATCTCCCAATTCAGTAACATTCCGAGATCTCGATCTTCAGAGCTTAGCCAACCCATTCGCTGGTTTTGATGTTAATTGAAGCCCTGTAGACCAAAAAGGATCTCCATTTTTTTCCAAAATCTTGAGATTTCCATCTTCTGTGACAGCCAAAACTGCTCCATCATCAAGAAGTGGGCGGTCTCGATTGGCAACCCACACAACTATTGGTGGATTCGACCTGTAATACCAAATTCCTACATAGCTTCGGTAAACAGAACTTTTTTCGGGAGCAAAGAACCCCAGTTCAAACCTTTTTCCTGCTGAAACAAGAGTTTCTCCACCATCATTAGTAATCAAACTACTAGCATGTGTGATGGTATCTCTAGCAAGGCAACATAAAATGGAGGAGCATGATAAGAAAGCATAAGTGAAGAAAACGTTTGATAGCATGCTATGCATTCAACATGGATCTCTCTGGTTAAGACCTCTTCTTACCATCGACCATGAATGTATCACTCAAGTCAACTGCAAAGCAAATTTTCACTGCACGTGTTCTGTGTTGACGCTTATTTAATTATTTTTTATTTAAAAATATATAAAAATAATATTTTTATTATTTTTAAAAATTATTTTTATATCAACCCAACACAAACAATTTAAAAAAATAAAAATTTAATGAAACACCTTGAAACACAATTCTAAAAAACAATATTAAGCTTAAATTCTTTTTTTATAGTTATTAAACTCCAATTAGCACGATAAATTGATCTAATATCTCAACTATTCTACGTAAAAAAAGATAAAAAAATAATAAAATTTAATTAAATCTTTTTTTCTTCAATGTTTTTTTTAGCTAAAAACCCATCTTTTTTTATATTTTTAATTTGATAATTAACCTTTTCCAATGTTTGCTATATAAATATTAAAAGAATATTTTATTTTTTTAATGTAGAATTTGAAGTTCTTCAATATATATACTTTATGTTAACAAAATAATTATAATTTTTTAATATGTGATAATAAAATTTAATTTTAATACTTTAATTTAAAAAAATAACATACTAACATAGTATCTTTTTAATATAGAATAAAAAAATTTAATTTTTTTTAAAAACTTTATTATTTTTAATATGTATAGGCTATATTTATATAAATTATTTTTTAATTTTTTATATAAAATATTAAAGTTTTAAATATATTTTTTAATTTTTTTAAATTAATTCTAATTAATTTAAATTAATCTAAATCAATCCATATAATTTAGAACACATAGGTCACCTTCCGGATCGATTCCAATAACTATGATGATGATAGAGTTACAGTCGAGGGGGTGGTAATGAAGATAGTAATTGTAAAGTGAAAAATAATGATGGCAACATTGATAATGATTTTGCATGTAGCGATGATAATAAGATGATTTTGTGTATAAATTATTATTTAAAAAATATTTTGTCTTGTAAAATATTTTATTCAAAACAAATTCCTTCTTAAACTACCCATAAATAATTAAATTGTGCTGACGACAGGCGTACGTGTTCTTTTCTTTTACAAGTCTCGGCTCTCGCTTCCCACGCAATTTTTTCAGTGGCAACAAGGGGCCGTCAAGGCATTTTTCAACTTTATGCATTCATGCTTTCATGTCCACTCATTCTGTAAGTATATCCTTCATTTTGACAAAACCCACTATTTCCATCCTATATTTTTACCAACTTGTCAAAAGAGTCCCTCCATTATTAATTTTGTCAATTGAGCATATGTTTTTTCAATTTCAGTCGAATGAGTAAAATTTTCCAAAATTAAAGATTTATCTCTATCAATTGAGAATTCTCCTTCGCAACCTTAGTCATTACCATCAAGTTTTTTGTCATTCTTGAAATATCGTCATTCATCTCATCCTTCCTATTGAGTACAAGTTTTTTTTTCAATTTAGGCAACTTATACTCAATTGATTGAAATGAAAATTATAGATGCTCAATTAAACAAATTGATAGCATGGTATTTTTTTTTCTTAATTGATAACGGCTTTAGCACTTTAGATTAAATGTTGTGAATCATCAAAATTGACAACCTTTTAATTATAATTATTACACCCGATCCGAGATTGACTTAGTCAAGGAACAGGGTCGTAGGTTACATGGATTATTAAAAAATTAAAATTTTAATATTTCATATAAAAAATTAAGAAACCATTCATATAAATATACATTATATATGTTATAAATAATAAAGTTTAAAAAAATATATCAAAAAGTTTTTTATTCAACATTAAAAAAATATTTTTTTATTGTGAACATAAAATATATATATAATAAAAGATTTTAAATCTCACATTGAAAAAATAATTTATTTTTTTAAAAATATATAGTATTATACAAAATACTAAAAGGGATTAGTACCTCTGTGGATTGAAGTATTGTAATGGCAAACCAACCCTTGTCATAGAGTTGCAAGGGCAGCAGGGGAGAGGTGAGGTTGTCTTTTCGCTGGAAAACATTTGGCATTGAAATGGTGGTTGAGAAGAAAATAGTTAACTCAAGTTTTGATGTAGTTGTGGACCCTGGGATATGGATACCTAGCGCTTAGGTTGCCCTGCTTGTACGCTGGGTCAGACCCACACGCCCACGTGGTGTTGAGTCTGGCTTGCCTTATGTTCAAGGCTAATAGATCTTGCATCAGAACATAATTTTCTTGGGTTCTTTGTCGAAACTCAAGGCTATTAGATCTTAAGTTTTTAAATATAATTATTTTCTTATAAATATTATAATTTTTATTATAGTTGAAAGTATTAATATCAAACATATTATATCTTGTGTTTTAAATATTATTAGTTTAATTATAATAAAAAGAATAATATGTATACCCTAAATAATAGTATTGTTGATATTAATACTTTGAATTATACTAAAAATCATAATATTCATAACACAAATAATATTATTTTTAATATTCATACTTTCAATTATAATAATAAAAAAACTTTTGTACTGCAAATAATAAGTTTTATTCCACAAATAGTATTATATTTAGAATTAATACATTTAATGATAATAAAAATAAAAAATTTTGTACTACAAATAATAATATTTTTTATATTAATATATTGAACTACAATAAAAATAAATATTAATACTTTCAATTATAATAAATATAAAAATATTTGTATCAAAATAATAATATTTATACCACAAATAATACTATTTTTAATATTAATACTTTCAATGATATAAAAATAATAATCTTTATACCACAATTAATAATATTTTTGATATTCATGCTTTGAACTCTAATAGAAATATTGATATTTATAACACAAATAATAGTATTTTTAATATTAATATCTTCAATTATAATAAAAATAATAATATGTATGGCACAAATAATAATAATAATAATAATAATAATTTTATCCTTCAAATCAATTATATGGTTTTTCTTTAGTGGTTATTATTATTATATTATATATAAAGCTAAATTATAAGAAAAAAATCATATTCACCAAAACTCATTGCATTGTGAATTACACATTTGGTGGGGCATGGTGTGCTGCAGCCTCAAGCACAAGCATCTGATGCAAGGGCCAGCCATAAAGATTTTCAAAGATGCAAGGGGGAGGTTACACCCCACGCTGTAAATATCTAGCACTAAGGCTATACCCGTGAGCTTGGCTGCCCACCCAAGTCAGCGAGTCTACTGACATACATGTTGGGTCTAGACATGGACCCTTTTATGTTGGGTCAGGTATCTTAACCTAAATTACTTGGGTTTAGATATGAATTCAATCTTTTTTTGTTCAAACACAACCCAATCCTCAACCCTTTACGGTTCAAACATAGAAGGACCCAAACCCCTTGGGTTCGGACACCGTAGGACTCAAACCCCGACCCCTTTGATCAGACACGGCCCCATCTCTAACCCCTTTAGGTCTCCACCCCACCTAACCCCCAACCCCTCTAGGTCTGGACACCGACCCAACCCCTATGGATCCGAACATGGAAGGACCCAAACCCCTAGTTTCGAATATCAAAGGATCCAAATCCATATTGAAAAAATAATTTTTTTAAGAATATAGAGTATATATATTAAAGGATTTCAAATTTCATATTAAAAAATAAAATATTTTTCTAGTATTTATATAATAAATTTTAAAAATGATTAATAACTAACTAAAAAAATATAAAAGAGGGGTTCAGGAAAAAAATCACGTTTGAAGAAAAAAGTCTCATCCGAGTTTACCTAGTTCAACCCGCTAGGTTTTTATACTAGCTAGTCTTTTATATTACCCTAATCTTGCATGCCAGGATACCACCTAGGTTACAGATTCAGCAGCTTCTTACCATGTTACACCTCGACGTGATTTTTACACAACCTATATTGCTAGTGACTTTGGTCAAGTTAGGATGGGAAATCAAGGGATGGCTAGTGTTGGGGGCATTGGAGACATTTGGTTGGAAACCAATACTGGGTGCAAGTTGCTACTCAAAGATGTTAGGCATGTGCCTGATATACACCTACACTTGATCTCTACAGGTACTCTTGATGAAGAAGGCTATCACAATTACTTTAAAGATGGTAAATGGAAGTTGTCTAGAAATTCCCTGATTGTTGCTAAAGGGAAGAAGATGGGTTTCTACATGTCACAAGTCAAGGTGATCAAAGGGAATGTGAATGTAATTAAAGATTGCTCTATTGATCTATGACATAAGCGGCTTAGACATTTGAGTGAGAAAGGCCTTGGCATCCTTGCCAAGAAGAACTACCTTCCATTAAAAGGTATGAACTTGAACATATATACTCCTTGTTTAGTTGGCAAACAACATAGAGTTGTGTTTCAAAGATCACCTTCACATAGAAGATCACATGTTCTTGATTTAGTTTTATTGATGATCACTCCGAAAAATTTAGGCCACTTATTTATATTGATGTTTGCTCTATGATTGGCAAGTCTCTTAGGGGTGCATTGTACTTTGTTAGTTTTATTGATGATCACTCCAAAAAATTTAGGCCACTTATTTAAAATCCAAAGATCAGGTGTTTGATGTTTTTAAGGATTTCCATGCCAG